GATTTCTAATTTTATAGCACTGTGATCTGAGAAGATGCTTTGTAGAATTTTGATGACTTTAAATTCATTGAAACTTGCTTTGTGGTTCAGAATATGGTCTGTTCAGGAAAATGTTTCATGTGCACTCAGAAAGAATGTCTATTGTGCTGCTGTTGGATGGAGTGTTCTGATATATCAATTGGGTCAAGTTGGTTGCTTGCATTGTTTAGTTCTGTGTTTTTGTTGAGTTTCTTTCCAGCGTTCTGTTCCTCATCAAAAGGAGAATATTAAATTTTCCCATTGTTGTTGTGAAGTTGTCTATTTCTCTCTTCAATTCTTTTAAGTTTAATTTATGTGTTTTGAGGCTCTTCCATTGAGTGCATAGATGCGTATTGTGGTCTGGCCTCATGTTTATTGACATTTGAATCATCATTATGCCCTTCATTGTCTCTAATGCTGTATTTTGCCTAAAGTCTACTTTATTATAAATTAATACGGCCATTCCTGCTCTTTTCCAATGACCATTAACTTGCTAAATTTTTTTTCACCCTTTGGTTTTCAGTCAATTCCTATCTTTGTGTTTCAGGTGTATCTCTTGAAGACAGCATCTTGATGGGTCATGTTTTCATATCTCTTCTAATAGTCTCTGTCTCTTCGTCTGTGCATTTAATCTTTTTATATTCGTGTAATTATTAATAGGTATGAATTCAGTGTTGTTACTTTGCTGTTTGTGTGCTTTTTGTTGTTTTTGTTGTTTTGTTTTCTTTTACTTTGTGGTGCTGCTTACTTCTTTGTTACACATAATTTTCTGTGCAGAGTTCATTTTGTTTGTGGATTTTGTCATTTTCTCCATTCCCGCTGCTTTAGGGTTTACTAATTTTTTTTTTAATTTTAATGACAAAATTTATTTTCTTTGAGGTTATATAACTTATCAATATTCTTTCCAAGTTTTGAGCAGTTTGTTCTATATTAAAATCTACTTGACTTCCTGTCCATTTGAAAATTCTGTAGTTATATTATCCCTCTTTTTACTCTGTACTTGTCTTCCTCTATTAATTGATACCCCTGGTTCCCCATTAAGAAATCTTCCTGGAGGAACGTCAAGGGAAATAGAGGAAAGAGCTGGGAGGCAAAGGGCACTTA